GTTTACGATCGTAGTCCATTTTATTTAAATTATTTTAACATAAAAGTTTTATAGTTAGAATTAGGTATATTTGTTGAATTATTATGACTAGTTTTTATAACAAAAGGTTTACTTATTTCGTTACTAGACAGTAAAAGTACTGTTACAAAATTGTACGACTAATAGCCTACAGAAAACATTACATTTTTAGTCAGTAAAACAATCATTGCAGATTTCTTTCATGTGGTTTTTGCATGCAAACGCTCCGCACTTCACACAATACTTTCTAGAATATTTGTTCAAATTTCGAGGACCAACTGCCGACGCCCGACATAATACTGTGGTCGCACAGGGGTTTGAGGAAGATTATTTTCTATGCCCAGTAGAGATTGAGCTTGCTTTCTCATTTCTCTTGGCAACTGAGGAATTGTTGATTTAACTTTAATTTGTGGTCGGATTATATAATATTATTCAATAAATTGTAAAACATAACCATTGGCCAACGGCGTGTATTTCTGGCGACGTTATAATTCTAACACAATTGATCTACCATATACATGCCGATTTTGGAGTTTTTATAATCAGTGATCATTACAAGCTTTCTATCATCTCCAGTATCTTCGTCTGTAACACCAGCATTGTGCATGGACTATATCAATACCACCGACTTACTTTTCTTTGTGACTTACGATACCATAGTACAATTAGCTTGAAAACCAAGAAGAGACAACTTAACTACTCAATTTTGCTGGGACAGAAACTCTTGAGGAACCTCTATTCTGTTTTATCTTACAGTATACAAATATGTAAGTTTTTTCTACAGTAAACTATTGACCAATGATAAACTGTTAAACCAGTTGTCTGCCGTAATATTACGACTGGTACCTGCGATGGTATCAGAAGAATGGCAAAGAATGCCAAAGCGGCAGGTCCTGATAATATACAAGCAGAAATACTCAAACTAATGGACAACGAATCAATAGCAATAATGGCAAAGATATTTAACAATACATACAACTCTGGAGAAATACCAACAGAATGGCTGAAATCTGAGTTTATTACACTTCCAAAAAAACCAGGAGCCAAAAAATGTGAAGATTACCGTACTATAAGCCGCATGAGTCATCTCCCAAAATTGTTCTTAAAGATAATTCATAAGAGAGTCTACACGCTTTGTGAAAGTCAAATTTCCCCCAACCAGTTCGGGTTTACAAATGTTGTTGGTACTAGAGAGGCTTTGTTCTTAGTTCAATGTAATGAGACTTGTACGGATGCAGAGACGTCAACTGCGACGTATACGCATGTCTGGTTGATTACAAGAAAGCGTTTTATCGAGTACAGCACGCCAAGATGATGCAAATACTAAAAGAAGCAGAAATTAACAACCAAGATCTGAAAATAATTAGCAATCTTTACTGGAATCAGACAGCAAATCTCAGAATTGAAGATGAACACTCTGATTATGTGAAAGTCATGCGTGGAGTGAGGCAAGGCTATATTTTGTGTCCTCTAATCTTTAATCTGTATTCTGAAAGAATATTTATCGAAGCTTTGCACAAAACTGAAAAAGGTATTCTACTAAATGTTACCGGCTTAACAACATCAGATATGCAGATGACACCATACCACTTGCGGAAAACTTAGAAGACCTACAAGCTCTTATAAACAAAATCACGTATAACAGTCAACAATATGGACTTAATCTAAACGTTAAGAAGATAAAGCTAATGATAATTAGCAAGAAAAGGATAACAGAAGGTCAAATCTACGTCAACCAATCTCCTGTAGAAAGAGTGATGCACTACAACTACCTCGCCACCATAATAAATGAAGAATGGACCAACAACCAGGAGATTAGAGCACGCATCGCAAAAGGTAAATCCACCTTCAATCGGATGGAGGTCTTCTTCAAGAGTCACAACCTCTCTCTTGATACAAAAGTAAAATTGCTGCGATGCTACGTTTTCTCTGTCCTTTTATATGGTATTTAATCGTGAACCTTGAACGAAGATATGTGCAAAAAAATGGAAGCATTTGAGATGTGGCTATATCATAGAATACTTAAGATCCCGTGGACTGACCGAGTCACAAATGAGGAGATCCTTAAAATAATAAATAAGAACCGAGAGGTACTAACCATTAATAAACCTCGAAAGTTACAATTCTTCGGACATATTATGCAAAATGAATCTGCTCTACTTCAAGCCATCCTGCAAGAAAAATAATTGGAAAGCGAGGTCCAGGAAGAAGAAGAACATCTTGGTTAAAGAACCTCACAAACTGGTTCAATACAACATCTGGGCAGCTTTTCCGTGCTGCTGCAGATAAGATAAAGATTGCCAACATTCGTAACGGATAGGCACATCAAGAATAGTTGTTCATCTGCTGTAAAGTAGAAATATTTCCAGAAATTCTCTAATTGCAAGTTTATCAATTTCTCTTCGCTCTGTTCTTGTCTCCATATCATCGAACCATAGACATCTTATGACAAATCCAAACCTTTTGTCGCTCATTGCCAGGTAGCATGACCCAACTCCGGGTCCTTGAGAATTATCCCATATTTTATATAAATTTTTTCTGGAATTTCTAAGAATACCAATCAAGAACAATATCCCAATACATGCACGAATTTCAGTTTCATTAGTTTGTCTGCAATCTGGATTTCTTTGGTAAATTTTCAATAAAAATATTTGTCGAGACAGTTATTACTCTAATAACTGTTTCATCCAAAAATAACTATGGGCAATCAATTTCAGTTTCCAACAGTGCGTGCGTTTTCTTTTGTACCAGGAATAAGTTTGATGAGATTCTAAAAAGGGATACGAACTTGTGAATTGGATCCGTTCTTTTTCCTATTCACCCTGTCTTTTCCTATGCAAACATTTGAAGGACGTGCTTTATTATAGTCATCTGACGTTCCTTCATCTTGGGCCAATTACTCTTGCTCCGATGTTTCTAATTCAGAGTCTGTTTCGTGATTACTCCTTTCAGCAAAATTCACATTGACATCGAGATCATCTTCGGACTCATCATCACAGTTTTCTTCCTCTCCACTTGATATCTCCTTACATCGTTGAGACCATACTTCCGGGTCATTGCATCGTTTTACCCGTCTTCTTTTATAATAGAATCAAATATCTGCAATGTAGCCAGACGTTGTAACATCAGTGGACACGTGGTCTACAATCGTAGACGAGTAAAATTATACAAGTTAGACGAGGTTACACGTTAGAGTTATACGAGGTTAGACGAGTTATACTCTTCTATGCTTGATAAAATACTTAACTCAAGTACCGAACACAAATAAAACCATAAATTAGAATAAGACGCCCGTTAACAACAGCTACTGAGATGAACGCGCATGTAAGAGAAAATGATAGAGATATATAAGTGCTTGAAAAGAGGTGGTCTACGATTATGGACCACGTGCCTAACGGAGAATTAGGTAAACAAAACGTTATTTAACACAGTAAAACCAATATAACACGGTAGAATTCGTGCTTTAATTTTTTTTAAAATAATACCAACATAGAAATATTTCTGAAATTGATTGGTATTATTTATATAAACGTTGTAATTGGTTCTATTAAAAAGATCAAGAAACTCACTGTCTCACTTTTACCATTCAAGTATTAAAACTAAAGAAGACAAAATAAATATCAAGTGAATATGACTAATACATTGCAAACTTTATTACGCGTGAAATAAATCAAAATATAATTTCAAGCTGTTTCATAATAACTATTTTTAATGTTAGTTTTCAATAAATACTAATAATATTATATACTCTCATGGACAAATTATCGAAAATTTTGGAATTTTCAATTTTTTTTTTGTAGACACTATTTTTTCAAAATAAGGTTATTGATGATACTCATATAGCAGACTGATGTACTGAACTGGTTTGAAATATTTTGACGTTTATTTTAACTTTTATTTAGCGTTTAGTGACATTCGTATATTTTATCATAAATAACTTTCTTCACGTAAAGGAAAAATCATACCCATTCAATTATTTTCAGCCACCAATTCGACACTGCGATGAAGCCTGAGTAGCACAGATTGTAATATTGTACGAGGAAGAATACGCACAAAAATATATTGCAGGACGTCTCAGGAGAAGTCAATCTACAGTTTCGAATACTTTAAAAATGTACCGTGAAACTGGAAATTTTGTACAACGGCCTGGTTACGGACGTTCAAGGTGCACAACCGCAATTGTGACAGTTTTTGATTCTTAATTCTACCCGAAATCGTTCATTGACATTGATGCACCTCAGAAATAAGCTATTAAATGTTAGACAAGTTAATGTGAGTTCAGAATCAGTTAGACGAAGATTAAAAGAAGCAAACTTAAAGCCCAGTTGTCCCGCCAAAATAGCAAGTCTTCTCCAAAATCATAAAGCACGTCATTTAGAATTTGCAAGAATACATATTCAGTGGAATATCGACAATTGGAAAAATGTTCTTTTAACTGATAAGACCAAAATCCTATTATGGAAGACAAACGGTTAAAACCACGTCTACAGAAATGTTGGAGAACGATTCACCAAACGTAATCTCGCCCAGGCCGTTAATTTTACAGGTGGTGGCATAATTGTGGAAGTAACTGGACGGATGAATGGTGACTCTTACGTTTAAAACATGATGTAAGAACTTTTCTGTGCTTTAAAAATACTTCTTATAAGTCCCGCTTAATTTAGATATATAAAGAACAGTAGGTCGCTTCGATTTTCTGTGGTTTTTCATTACATAATATTATCTGTTCTAGGTGAGGAGCTCGTCACAGCTAGCCATTTAGTCGTATGCTAAACTACAGCCAAACAATTCTAAAAAGACTATTTTACTAAATGTAAGTTAACCATTAAATCATACACTAGCAATAACACAGCTGAGTCGAGCAAGAAACCCAATCAATTACAGATGCTTGTCCGTCTGAATTAAAAATTCCGTTTCTCGAAAAGGCAAGATACTATAACCTTCCAGATTTATACAAAATATTCAAAATTTTACAAAAGACATTACTTACTTGGTGGTAGGGCTGTAGTGGTGGTTGGTGGTTTCGTTCGTCTTGTAGAAGGAGGTCTTGTTGTTGTTGTTGTAGTCGTCGTTGTTGTAGTAGTCGTAGTTGTAGTAGTAGAAGTGCTAGTTGGTACAAATGCCTGAGGAGGTGGGATAAACTCGGCGATTGTGTTGATTCTCGTATGTAATGAAGCTTCTGTTGCTGATATCATGTTATCTTGGTGGTTTATATTGAAGTGGTGAACGGAAGTGGGCCGGTGGCGAATTAAGGGAGCTGATGTTGTTGGAATGGCTGTTGTGTACTTAGCTTGTTCCAGGGCTTTTGCCATGTGAAAGTTTTTCTGAGATTCCACTGTAAATAAAATTAATTATATATAACTTATTTTAATATTATATCCACCCTCCGAGAAAAAAATATAATTTATTGGTGTCAGCTTCACAAAGGTCGGTTTTATGTTAGTACTATAGATATTTTCATAAAGCTACAATTGCATAAAACTCTTTTAGTTTAGTGAGTTTACTAACTTACAGTACATTAATTTTTGGATTGCAATCTACGTAAACCGCTAAACTCGGCAAAATTGCCCCGTACGAGTTAATTGTAATTCTCCAAACCCCACCGACGTCTTAGCCTTAGACTCCTAGATGAAAAACAAGAAAATGAAAACCATGTGTAGTAACACACATTTTAACGTAAGAAATATGCATCTAAGTCTGTCGATTTTTGTTTTGGTTACGTATACCTGGTTTATTTCTTATAACATAAACTCGATAAAAATACACTGACCATTATAAGGCGGTGCATTTGTATCGATTTTAAATAATATACTAAACAGTATTCCAACCTGTCATAAAAACGTCTCAGGACGTATGTAAGAGTTTCTGCTGTAACAGAATAAAAGACTTTTCTTATTCGGATTTTTAATTTATCCAAATTTTCGGCTCTAACCTCAGGATGATCGTAGATGTTGCTTTTTAAATATCCCCAAAAAAATCCATGGATGTAAGTTCTGAATATCACGCAGAACGCTTAATATGGCTTGTTTCACTGATAACTCGATTCGAGAAAGTATTTTTTAAGTACTCCGTAATTATTCGAGCGTTGTGAACTGAACAGCGATCTTGATGGAACCAAATATTCTCCAGACCTACATCACGAAGTTTGAGAGTAGCGCAAAGAACATGATTCTGTAACAAATCAAGGTATATTTTAGTATTTTAATGCCCTTAATATAAAATTGACCTATTATGTGGTCTCCTAAAATGCCAGTCCAGATGTGCTGGTTTTACCGTGCCCAATACTTTATAATGAACACATTTTGTCTCCATACTAACGAAACAGAAGATTCATCAGTAACTAAAATGTTTTTAATAACATTTGGTTCATTATTAGTCTTTGTTATTAGACGTTTACAAAACTCCAGTCTTTGAGAGTAGTAGTCTGGACAAAGCTGCTGCGTTTCGAATATTTAAAACTCTTGTAGCTGTGCTTATTAAAATTACCAAAATAATAAGATTAGCGTAGGCAGGATTTGAAAAACTGGATATGGATAAGGGATGGAACTACGAAATACAACAATGGAGACCATCGTTAGGAAAGAGAAGCAGAGGAAGACCACAAATAAGATGAGCGGATGATATTAGGAAGATCAAAGATCACAACTGGAAGCAAGGGGCGCAAAGTAGAAGACACTGGATTGATTTGTAAGAGGCCTATGGCCAAAGTTAGATTACGTGAGGGTAAAGAAGAAAAATAAGTGCTCTTTCCATACTTTCGTTACAGTAATATTGCCAACATCTACCTCTCTAGCTACGCTTCTAGTTTAACGTGTTGAATCTACCTATCTTCATTTGTGTATCGCGGTATTCTCTTTCCTCAAATTTTTCTGGTGACACTTCTTGTGTCACTGAGCGTGACATTTTCTGCAAGTTTTGACGCAATAATAACTTTTAAAATTTTAACAGTATTATGAACTGACTTTACGCAAGGAATTGGTCTCTCCTCAAAAATCACAGAAAATAAATCTACACACTGTTGTCCAGAATTGTCATCATATATATCATTTTATTATTTCAACCTCTTCTGCAAGCGTATAAACATACACGTTGTTGACAAAAATAAGTTAAAAATCTACCCTCTTGTTGCATTAAACGGTTCGTGGAAAGTGAATGTGGCGCAGTGCAGCAATTTATAGTGTATATATCTAATTTAAAACTTAAGGTACTATATAATGTTTGCGACTTATCATGTAGTTTTTCATTGATGCCCAATATCCGAATTTTTTTTATTGTTTACATATGAAATAGGCAAATTCATTGTTTTTTGGTTATCAGATGATGTTGACTTTGAAGCTTGCTTCAAAGAATAGTCCACGGTGGTATTTACTCTTTTAAAAATGTTTGAACTACATGACGAGTATATATTTTTATTGTATTTACCGATAATATAATTATATCTATATTTTAGCTTATCCTGAAGAAGCAAATAAATTTTGCGAAAGCTTGATAAAAGAACAAAGAGTTTTACTAATCCTGCCCTAATAATCAACCTTAAAATAAAACTTTTTAGTTTCTTTATGCTTAAGAATTAGACATATCACCAATTAAGTTAGCGAATCGCCTAAACGAAGTCTAAAATTTAGATGCAAGTGAATGGACGAAAGTCCGTCGACGACTTTATGATGCGAACTTATCCCAAAGATCAGCTTTATATTCACAGCTCGCCAGGGAATAACGCAGATTAGAGCAACACTTTGTTCTCGGATGAGTCAAGTTGTTGCTTACGGTAACCAGTCAATCACGAAAGAATTTGGTCAAAAAGATAATAAAAAAAATCGAGTCTCCCAATGCAGTATTACCGACTGAATAACCTATCGAGGAAGCGTATACAAAAAAAAAATCAAAAATAAAAAGTTCCTAATTAAAGTTGGCAAGTAAATAATATTAACAAGTGTACACTTAAAAATGGTTCTTTTTGTACCTCTTGACCAATAACTGTTCTAACGGTCACTTATTTTTTTTTTCTACTTTAAAGTATTCGATTAAATTTAAAAACCGAAACTTAACAAAACCATTCGTTAACATTGTGCATAAGGTTAACTTTGTTTTTAAATTATTGGCAAAATAAAATACATTTGTCACATTATTTCAAATTCCAATATCAAATTAGTATTTGTAATATTAATAACCTCTAAATGCAAAAATAGGCCAAAAAATAGCAAAAAATCCAACAAACTTACAGCCACAAGTAACTTAACCAGAAACTTCACAAATTGTACTTCATCATCACATCATATAACGGGGGTCCTACGGCGATTGCCGCTTCCCGCATTTCAGCCTCCATCTTTTCCTATCTCCCCAATCTCCCTCTTCTAAGCCTCTAGATTGCATTGTTTTTGTAATTTCTCTTCTCCAGGAATTTGGTGGTCTTCCCCTTTTCCTTCTTTCTGGCGGAACATACATTAAGGCTTTCTTTGGCCACCGCTCCTCCTCCATTCTTATCACGTGACCATACCATTGCAATTGCCTTCCTTGTATTCTATCTGAAAGAGTATCTCTAATTCCTGTACGGTTTCGTATTTCCTCATTCCTGATTCTTTCCATTCTCGATACTCGACGTGACCTTCTAAGATAATCCATTTTCACAACGTCTACTTTATCTCGTTCATTCTTTGTCATCGTCCAACATTCGGCACCATATGTGGTAATTGGTTCTACAATTGGTCTGTATACGCGAAGTTTGGTATGCATCTTTATTTTATTAGACCACAGTAATGAATTCAGTATTCGGACGCATTTTTTCCCTTGGGTTATTCGGTTTTGGACATCTATCTTAACTCTGCCATCTGCTGATATGATGCTTCCTAGATATTTATACTGGTTGCAGCCTTTTATGACTACGTTTTCAAGCCTCAGATCTGTGGTATTTCCTCCAATTTTTAAATATTCTGTTTTGCTTATGTTTACAGTAAGCCCCCATTTGGCATATTCCTCAAATAATTTTCGATTCATATAATTTATATCTTCCTCATCGGTTGCAACCACCACCTGATCATCTGCAAACAACAATGTATACAGAGTTTCTTGTCCCACTTCGATGCCCATAAATCTACATTTATTTCTCCAATTCCTCAATGCTTCTTGGACGTATATTTTAAAGAGTGTCGGTGACAAACAGCATCCTTGCTTTAGGCCTTTAGCGACTTTAAATTTATTTGAGGTTCTGGTTCCAATTTTTACACAACTAACTGCATTTTCGTACAATTTATATATCGCTCGGATATACGTCGAATCCAATCCGGACCTTTTGAGGACTTCAAACATTTTCTTTAACGGGACACTATCATATGCTTTCTCAAGGTCTATAAATACCAAATGGGTCTCTCTACTTCTTTCGACACGCTTTTCAATTATTTGTCGTAGGATAAATATATTATCAAGGCAGGATCTCCCGGTACGAAAGCCGCTTTGTTCTTCAATATCTTGTATCTGTCTTTCAACCCTCTTCTTTAATATTCTGCCGTACAACCGGCCCACAGAGCTCGACACACTAATACCTCTATAATTGGAACAGTCTCTTTTATTCCCTCTCTTATATATGGAGCTTATATAAGATTTATTCCAATCTTTAGGAATTTCCTGGTCTCCACACATACATTTATTGAAAAGGTCTACTATTAATTTTAAAAGTGCAGTTGGCCCATATTTAACCAGCTCTATGGGAATGTCTCCAGGCCCTGTGGCTTTTCCGTTTTTAACCTCTTTTAAGGTTCCCGTCAATTCAGATAATGTTATTATAGGGATTTCCTGTCTTTCGTCTCTGTTGTCTATTAATTCCCTTATCTTTTCCCATCTGTACTCTACTCTATCCTCTTTCAGCAGTTTCGTATAATATTCTTCCCATTCATTTAACTTTATGAGAGAAATGTTGTCTTAATTTTTCTCATTTTTCCTAAACTGTTTTAATGTTTTCCAAGCTTGCGCCACTTTTGTTCCACCCATAAATCTGCCCAGTTCATCACACTTAGCCTCCCAGTTTATATTTTTTGCCTTATCCACGTCTTTTTTAACTTCTCTATTCCATTTAGCTTCCATTTTTATTTAACTTCTCTATTTCCTCCAACTTATAATCGAGGGTAAAATTGAAGGCAAGAGAGGAATGGGACGCAAGAAAATGTCCTGGCTCCGAAACATAAGGCAATGGACAGGGATTAACGACATACAATCTCTGATACATATTGCAAGAAATAGAGAGTTAATGGAAAATGTGATCGCTAACATCCATTAGTGGATTTGCATCTGAAGAAGAAGAAGATTCCATTTAGCGTATATTTCTCTGTCTTGAGGATCTTT